CTTGCAGTACACACCAATATTTATATGCTAGATGATCAACATTTTCTGATCGATTCCACAACGTTTCTTTCACAATAAATTTGCCTGACCATAACTGGTCTTTATCTTTAAGAGACCTGCAACATCCAATAGGAAATAATAAGGATATATGTATAACATATGATGTGTGTATGCTGTCCATCTTGGTTTTTCATAACCTTTCTAAATTAAAATCTTTCCTTGCCAATCTACACATGTGAAACTAATTACTCTTTAGGTTGAATGATATTCCATATTTTGACCACTTGCTTCACACTTAGTCTCTTCCTGCGGAAGGTCTTCTTACTAATTATAGGACCTGAAACGGTTACTAGAGCACAGTGAACTTCTACTTTCGATTTAAAGTATTTCATGTACTTTTTAATTACTACTCTGATTATGGCAACTAATGGTTTTGGTATATGAGTTATACACCTTAATGAAAGCATTTCCTTGTCAAGCTTTAGTTTCTCTCATACCCTTATCTGATTTTAAACACTAAACACTGTAAATCAAGTTGCTGCACTTCTAAATGGCCACATTTAAATGGATTTAAATTTGAACTGTCATACAGGTTGAAAAGTAATGATTTGAGCTTTTGCTGAACTTGCTAAAAAGCTTTCTACAGCTGTGATTGATGTATGGTTTATTCCATTAGTTTGTCGGTGTATGATGCCTGCACTATCCTGTATCTTCACCTTTATATGGTCACATTATTTTAACCCTTTCTTTTTCTATTTCTCAACTTATCGCTCTTCCTCTCCTCCCTCTTTCAGTATCTTCTTGTCTTTCTTTATCTCCTTTCTCGTCTCCTCTGTTTTCTCTCTCCCTACCCCTTCTCTCTCTTCCCCCTCTCTCCAGCTCCTCTCCTCTCTCTCTCTCTTCTCTTCCCTTGCTTCATTTTTGTATCATTTGTTTATCTCTCTCATTATTCTCTTTAATTTTTGCCCCTTTCAACTCCCTCCATAATTCCCCCTCTGAATTTCTTCTCTCTCCCCCTCATTTTCTTTTCCACACTTTATCTTCATCCCCTCCCACACCATTTCCCCCTCTCTCTCTCTCTCTCTCTCTCTCTCTCTCTCTCTCTCTCTCACTCTCTCTCCATCTCTCTCTTTCTCTGTGTCTGTCTGTCTCTCTCTGTCTCTCTCTGTCTCTCTCTCTCTCCCTCCCTCTTCCCCCTCCTTTTTCTCTTCTGTCTTCATATATTCCTTCTCTAGTGTCCCTCTCTTCTGTGTGTTTATATCTCTGCACCCTTCCCCTCTCCCACCATCTCCAACTCCCCTCACTTTCTCCTCCATTTCTCCATTCTCCTCTTTTTTTTCCTCCTATCTACATTACCCCTCTATCTCAACCCACCCTTTTTCTTCCCCTCCATTCTGTCTATCTCCTGCCTCTCTCCAATCCTCCTCTTTCTCTTTCTCTCTCATTTTTCCTCTTTTTTTTTTGTCTCCCTCTTTCTCTTCCTCCATCCATCCCTCAATGTCTAACTGAGTGGTATGGGAACCAGTTCAATGGCAGTGTTAAGTGTCCAGTTTCGCCAACAGTCAATGCTAACCTAATTTTCCAGGAGGGCCCCCTATCTCCCTTTCATTAAATGTGATCGATGAGACCGCCAAATGTGCACCTACCTTTCGTAGGTGGGTAGCTGGAAGTCTGCAATAAAGGGGGGGGGGGGGGGAAGCAGTGATTATTCGCTAGCTTATAATCACCGCTTAGAGCATCAGGGGCAATATCAACTAGCCAGCTGCCAAAGAAAGATTGAATGGTATGACTGCATGACAGGGAGCAATCGGGCGGTATATACTCATGATGTCATATGGGGCTATTAGGGAGGGAGGATGGAGGAGAGGGGCATCCCCTTGTTACCCCCATGCAGGTGCAGTCACCAACTTGGAAGAATTTGACTGCATTATTGCTTTGGGGAGATGGGAATGGGAAAGCTGTGGACGTTGTGCAAGGTGGAAATTAGAAGACTCATTGTGAACTAAAATAGAAATATGGAATGGAGGGGAAGAGAGAGAGGGTGAGAGAGAGAGAGAGAGAGAGAGAGAGAGAAAGAGAGAGGGGAGAGAGAGGGAGAGTGAGAGAGGGAGGAATGGAGAGGGAGGGAGGGAGGAAGAGAGAGAGATATATATATTTTGAGAGGTGGATAGATGGTTTGTTTGCTTTTGTGTGTGGGTATGTACAGTATGTGTGTGAATGGGTGAGACAGAGACAGAGAGAGAGGGGAGAGAAAGATACAGTAAGAGGGAGAGAGAATGAGGGTTAGAGAGGAAGGCAGCGAGAGATAGAATGAGAGATAAAGAGGGAGAGAGAGAGAGCAAGAGAATGCTTATTAGAGAGGATAACAATAAAAAACAAGAGAATAATAAGACTACTGAGACTGTGATTGATGTACCATGTACCAGACCTCTGTTTTGACATCTACTATAGATCAACCATATACCAGCTATACATCCATCCTAGGTATACACATACTATGTGTATATGTCTATGGCGCTGCAGAAGTATGAGCACCTGCCCTTCTATTTAAACACCCAATATGTTGAAAATACAATTTTATATCAATGGAAAGCTGAATGAAAGTATTTTCCCTTTCAGTATTGCATAAAAGTAGATTAAAAATTCACTTTCCACATTCCTCCAAATTTGCCGCAGTGGATTAGTGGACCCTATCGGCGCGCCTATATAGCTGAGGCGATGAGCCGTGCTTAATTAGAGCAAAGTGAATATGCGCACTCCACCTAAGATGATGTCATCAAGTCGATGGCTAGTTTTTAGGTCAACAACTTCTGGTTTTCAAAGCTTTAGATTTATAATAAGACACAATGGCAAAATGAAAATCCTTTTATGTATGAATGAATTACAAACAGGTTTTAAAAAACAAGTACAGGCAGCATTAAGGCCTGTATGAAAACAATTTTAATATGTGTGTGTTTTGAGTTACAGATTATGTTAAGCCATGTTTATTTTTCTTCCTTTTTTCCTTTTCTTTTTTTTTTATGGTGGTATACCACAAATCATCTGCATGAATCTGTAGTGGTCTTTATCAGCTGCTTTTTTCTCTTCAAAGTACTTCTTATAGAGAATCTGAGAATATATACTTAGACAAGAAGCCTTGGTTAAGATAACTATATCACTGTGACTGTGATGGATATTACCTTGGACTCCTTTGAAAAACAACTTATTGCTGACAAAAGCAATCCATCCCAAGAGGGGAGAATACAACAAATGATTAACTTTGTAATTATATTTGAAGACCTCGTTCAAAATTAATCATGGGTGGGCGATATTGTGTTGCTTCGCAGTAATCTCTTTCCATAAACTTTGAGTATGTTTCATTGTGTTTTAAATGGACTGTCTTTGTTCAGCTAAGAGCACCACTTGTTATTGACTGTTAACATATTTACTGCTGAGAGCCCAAAGCCACTTTATGTTAAAGGATATATAGGTTAGTATACATCCTTATGGCTCTCAAATAGACTAAAACATCTGCTTGGAGCCAGAAGGGCTTTAACTCATGACATTAACACAGAGTTAACAACCCTTTTTGCTTTGAACAGACAAAATCATCTTTGCGCTTACCTCGCCTTAAGGCAAAGAGAGAACTGGAAATCTATAGGTGACCATGATCTGTTTCTGTTTCCCTGTTACTTACCTCCAAGCTCGTCTTCACTTAGTAGTTTCTTTTCTTTCTTTGTCTGCGGCATTGATCTAGATCACTTTCTTCCGGGCCTGTCCTCGAGTCCTCAAGTAAAAAAACTGACGAGAAAAAAATGAGACAATGATGACAATTCTAACAGTTTTTGAATAAGATTGATAAATATTGAGAATAGAAGGATCTCAAGGTCTTATTTTGTATTACTTATCCTTTTGTTTAATGATTGTTCATGAAAATGGTCATCATGACATACATAGATGTAGACTAAAGATTGTAAAATTGTATACAGTGGCAATGAATAAAGGTTGTATGCCTCCAGAATCTAAAAAAAAAAGGTGTTTGCCTTTTCACTAGCATATACGCAATTTGAAGCATCTGACCTCTGATTCATTTGACCTTTGAACCCTCTGACCTTTGATATTACATATAATGTATTTCAAGAAGAAGAAACTGCTTGGTTTCCTTCTTGATGTTCCAAATGCGTTCATGAATCTTGACGGTGGACATTCATAAACAATATTTGAATCAAGATGAATGACACAAACGGAAGGGGATGGTGAAGGAAAAACCTTATGTTTGAAATGTTACTTTGAATATGTTTTTGTGAACTTTATTTCATGATGGAAGGGATGTAATAGGAAAGGGATATGGACTCAGAGTGGGTATGATTTAGTATCCTTGTGAGAATACTACATGCATTTGTTTACTCATTTTTTTTCCTTCTTTAATTATTTTTTAGGGGGAATAACTGAAACTACTCTGGCTTATTATTAGGGAAAATGTTTCTTCTTAAAGTAGTTATTCTTTATTGTGTGTTGTACATTGTGCAGTCATTATATTTGTTTTATTCTAAAGTAGGGTGTGGCATAAAGGATTATTGACATCAAAATTAATTGTGCTTTAATTTACTTTGTATATATTATAGGTATTACTACATCTCATTAAATACACCTGGCAACCACAATCGGTATCTCCTTTGCTGAATTCAATGGGAATGGATATTTCAATATCAAATATCTCTATCCATAAATTGTATAATATCATATATCTTACTTTTGTATTCATCAGTTCATTTATCACCTGTATGCTTGTTGTATACAGACTTCTATTTACATTGAAATTAATGAATTATCATATTAAATATCATAATATACAATGTACTAATGATTTTTCCATTGAAGGATTTTGTATCTTACATGATTTACAAATTATTCATGGTTTTGAGGACAATTCCATTTCAGTCAAATAAATTACAACAATATGATTGAATTGTTTGTCTTTTTGCTGATTCCACTTTTATCTTCTTTACTCTTCATTGCAGGGTGAAGGCACTGTTGAGATTGACTGAAAAATCTTCTGGAGTCAGCCAAAAGTAAGTAAGATGAATTGTCAAGCAATAGAGATAGTACAGTTACATCTAGAACTAAGGCACCGGTTTATGTATTTGAAATTGAATTTTTGTGTAATATATCAACAGAATTATTGTGAAACAAAGGAGGGTGTCAGTCATGAAGAGCTAGCCGCCGGATATAAACGTATTCATGATTTAATACCTACAAAAAGGATGGTGCCATAAACTAAATGGGTTTATGCACTTTGTGATATGTTTGAGTTGCCATTCCATAGATGATGAAAAACAAGGTCACAACTTGTACATTTCGCCGCAAAGTTTTTTTTTTTTTTTTTTTTTTTTTTTTGGGGGGGGGGGGGGGGGGGGGGGGGGGACAGTTCGTTGGAGGATGGGGATTGGTTTAAACCTCTTGAAAGCCAATATCTATAGCAGTTTAGCTTAATACTGTAGGTCCGTCTTCATCAGCCTAAGTTGGCCAGATAGCTCGCTATTTTGTGATCCGGGAAATTAGCCCAAAGTTACAACTTGCATCTTCATTGCTCAGTATTCTACTAGATCTTGATTCTAATATTGTGACATTGCTTCTTATCATAAAGAGATTGCATTATACACTCTTTGTTATGCAGCTCTCCGAGGTCAATTTCAATCCTACTGATTTTGGTTCTGCCTCTTTGTGATAAAAGATTGCACAACATACCCTCTGTTGATGACTCTTCTCTTGAGGTTACCTTCCATCCTACTACTGTGCCCCTCCTTCAATAGTCAATCCTCAATCTTGTTTTCCATTTTCAAATTGAACATTTTACGATATTTTGTAATTTACAGTATTCTACGAGCTATTGATTATGGTTATGCCTCTTCACAAAAAAAAATTACACAACGAATCCTCTGCCAATGACTTCTCTCTTGAGGTCATGTTCCTTTACTAGTATGCCCCTCCTCCATCAAAAATCAATCCTCAATCTTGTTTTCCATTTCCAAATTGAACATTTCCCGGCGCTTGTTTTGACCAAGTCATGTTCCATTCCGCCGCAGCTCACTCTTTGGTAGTTTGAACAGGATGTCTCATTCGCGAGTGATTATGGTTGAACTTGCATCATTTTGGCAAATCTTGTATTTGAATTTTTTCTTGTACCGGCCTCCTATTTTTATCCTCGATCGCCAGTCAATGAGAGATTTCCTTTGAACTCCCTTCTGGCTTCCATAACACATTTTGTTACATATTAAGAGGATCAAGTGGCCAAATTTGAACAGAAGTATGGAATTATTGTGAGTTATACTTTTTTGCCCATCACTGGCAGCATGAAGATCTTGCACTGCAGTAAAAGTGCATTTTGAGAGAATCATGTCTTGACTGGAACGTGTAAGAATTTTGTTTTTGATTTGCTTATTGTACGTGAAAAATTAATAAAATGGCATGTGTATGTGAACTTTGGGATTGGACAATTATCAAATGTTACCAAAATATTGTGCATGTGCTAAAAAAAACACAACTTTCTGTTTGCCCACGATAAGATATACAGTTATTTTTAGCTTTTTATTGCAGACGTCAGTAGAAAAGGACCTTTTTATTATTTTGTGCTTTCGTTATCCTCCTACTCAGGTCATTTCTGTCTGTTGGTTTCTCTCTCTATCTCTCTCTCTCTTTCTCTCTCTCTCTCTCTCTCTCTCTCTCTCTCTCTCTCTCTCTCTCTCTCTCTCTCTCTCTCTCTCTCTCTCTCTCTCTCTCTCTCTCTCTCTCTCTCTCTCTCTCCTCTCTCTCTCTCCCTCTCCCTCTCTCTCTCTCTCTCTCTCTCTCTCTCTCTCTCTCTCTCCCTCTCCCTCTCCCTCTCTCTCTCTCTCTCTCTCTCTTCCTCCCTCTCTTTCTGCCTCTCAATCTTACACTATACTTCTTCTCCCAAAGTTAGTCGATTCTCTTTTCTATAATTTATTCACTTTACTCTTTGAGACCCTTGCCATTCCTTTTCTCCTCTTCATCTTTCCTTCTTCTTTTGCTTCAGTCTCTCTAGCCTCTATCGATCTGCCCCAAATCTATTAAATTCTCTCTCTCTCTTTCTCTCTCACCCCCCCCCCCCCCATCTCTCTCCTCCTCTTTCTCTTTTCCCAGCCCCTTCTCTCCCTCCATCCTGACCCTCTCCGGCGTGCAATTGAGGAAAATCTCATCTATTGATTTTTAGCCCGGCTATTTTTGTCTCCCTTATTCCCCTTTTGATGGCTGAACATGAATTTCTCCCTCTATTCTGGTCCCTTTTGGATCTCAGTAATTTCCAGTACCGTGAACAGAGGATGACGCAAGTCCTGTCCGCTTGGGTGCATAAACAACTCCTGGTTGCCTCTTTAATCGGAAACACACAATGAATATTCATTTCAATTGATTTCATTTAAGTAAACAATCTGAACGATGATGAATTCCTAATCTCTGTAATGGACTTGTTTACGGACCAAACAGAGACTCTCTTCGCTATCACCTCTTGATCTTTGCGCAGGCATTCAAACTTTCAGTGATTTTTGTTTGTAGAAATATGTGATTTAGCATTAAAGGGATCGTTTAACAATGTTAAATCTGAGATACACGGTCCTGCATGTTATCAGTGTCTATGATATGGTGTAACATTGAAGCCCTAAAAAAAATTGCGCTTCAAAATGATCAAGAAGTGCCTCAAAAAAGTAAAAATCTTTGAGTGGCCGGTTATACCATACTCGTTTTCCCCAATAGACTGTAGTGTTATGAAAACTGTCAGGCGAACGGTTTTCAAAATTTGTAATTCCAATCATAAATATCTTGATAATCAGACAGGCGATCGGCTTGTAAAAGTCATGGGGTTCCTGACTGACCTAAAGGTTTATAATTATCATTGCATCATGAGCTAAATCCAGAATTTTATTTCAGAATCTGAGACAAAGTTACCGGATCCCTTTAATGCACAATGAATATTCATTTCAATTGATTTCATTTAAGTAAACAATCTGAACGATGATGAATTCCTAATCTCTGTAATGGACTTGTTTATGGACCAAACAGAGACTCTCTCCCCCATCTTTGTGCAGGCGCATTCCAACTTTCATGTGATTTATCATTAATGCACAATGAATATTCATCTCGATTGATTTCATTTAAGTAAACAATCTGAATGATGATGAATTCCTAATCGCTATAGCCGACCTGTTATGGATCAAACAGGGCAGTTTCTTTTCCATCTCTCTCTCTCTCTCTCTCTGAGCACAGGCATTCCAAATTTCAGTGATTTTGTTGTTGTAGAAATATATGATTTACCGGCAGAACTGTCATGCTCATAATGAGTTTGTGATTTTTTAGAGAACAGCCTTGGCATACAGTTATATGTGGCAGGCATAAATAACGTCCCATACTAAGGCTATATGTGAATATCAATAAGACAATTTAGTAGTCAATGGGTCAAATAATTAAGCAAATGCAATTTGATATAGGATTGTTGAGAATCTCTAGATTTCTACTAATGGAATTGTATTAATAGAATCTAGGAAGAAACATTATGAACTGAACCTTGATTATATAAAGATCAATTCTTTAGAATCGAAATGGTGTTCACATTTATAGCTGACCCGTTAATTACGATACAGCTTTTTATATGTGGTCGTAAAGCGGTATATTCTACATCTGTTTGAACTTCACAGCTATTTAAAGGAAATTATTCATTGGCAGAATTAGGGACATTACATGCAATAATGCCCAAATACACGGTTTAATATCCCTATATTAGTGAGGTGCTTCTCATCCTTATTCAATTAATCCAGCTCGCTTGCTTGCTTGCTTCCTTGCTGAAATGTTATTTACAGTTGAACCATAACTTACGAAGACGAGTGTCCTCTCTCTTTTTTCCTCCCCGGAGCACTCTCACGAAATGTAAATGTCATGGCGCTGTGTTTGGATCTACTTTATAAACAGGAAAAGGGTCCTTGCGATAGAGAGGGCAGGAGGGTCTGAGGACAGAGAGGAGAAGAAGATGGAAGGGAAGAGAAGAAATGAGATCAGATATTGTGAAAGTTGGAAAGGCGATCAGATGATACTAATATTCCATTTCTGCTTCTTATGTCTTTACAACTTCAGCTCTGACGAAAGTTTTAGCAATGCGCAGTGAATTTCAAGGAAGAAATCTTGCCAAGAACCCACTTAACAAGTAGGCTGAGAGAGAGAGAGAGAGAGAGAGAGAGAGAGAGAGAGGGGGGATTGTTGATAAATTGAACAGATTGAACAGATGACAAATTTAATTTTTAATTTTTGAAATTAATAAATAGAGATATATTTATTTAAAGAAAAAGAAGAAGAAAAAAATATACATTTCCCAACCGAAAACAGGTCAGTTATTATTCACCCAAGTGAGAAACATTGAGCATTACTATACGTCTGCTTCTTACTATGAATTAAAGAAATAAACCCTCAAGCAAATACCAAGGATGGAAATATTGTACTCTAAATTTGTTCTATAAATAGCTGTTTTCTCCCTAAAATAGAGTAGGTACTTATATTGTGAACTTTCTTGGCTAGTAAGATATTTCAAGGCAAATTAAGAGCCAGACCAAATATTGAAATACAAACTTGATTCTTCAAATAGAAAATGTCTGTAAATTTAAAGTAGAGTTATTCAAAAGGTTAAAGCCCACTCATGCATCCTTGACTGAAAAAGCATGTCAGATAACTTATCTATACTGAGCGATTTAGCCACAATTCTTGCTAATGTTGTTGATTTCTCAAGTGATGTATTAAATTCTGAGTAAGAGAACATGTGAAAGTAAATCTGTCAATGATATAAATAGAAATGTTTTCCTTTATTCTGTAACTTCCTGAAAACTATTTATTGATAATGGATGCTTTACAAAGAGATTTGTAGAAGCTGTCTACATCCGGAAGATGAACCGCATAGTTTACATCCTCACTATCCCATGGCAGTTAACTTTTCTTATTTTCTAAATTTGTCAGTTTTACCTCCTCAAATTAGTAACAAATAATCTTATCACCCACTCCTTCATAGGTAAAAAAAAGA